TTCACATGAAAGAAAACGTATAAAAATATAAGTATTTCTAATGCTGATACAACTACGACATATCTATGAGAAAATATAAATATAATATATTCTAATTTTATCTATAATAATGAATAGTGTACCAATTCCTTTTCTTATTCATTGTGAGGTATCTTTATATTCAACTTGATGAAAACATTATCGTGCAAAATACAGAATACTTTAAGTTTTACAAATCATACATTTTTATATGTTTTTCCCTCTTCTGTACATATATTATGACTTTAAAATTGTCAGGAAAGGAGTTGTGTCATTCGTTTCATCGGAAGTAAAACACTCAATTATGTTTAATGCCTTTATAATAACAATAAGTTCTACATAAAACATAATAGTTCAAAAAAATAGATTCAATGTATGTAATGTGTTATAAATAAAATTTCCCGTCGTTTATAAAAAAATTCTTATATTTAATATATTCATCATATTCAAAGTTATCTTGTAAATTATTCTTATACACTTATTACTTCTAGATTCCTGATTTATAACATCGACGTCATACTATTTTAGGATAATTTCAATTATGAATTCTAATAAAACTTTTACTACGAATATATTTATTTTTTACTTCAATTTAGTCGTTTTTCCCTATCTCAAAATAGGTGCAATGTGTGGAGGAAAAAAGTCTATCTGTTCGTTCATTCTCTTATTAAACAAATAATTTTTAAAATGTATTTTCAATATTTATACAAATAGCTCAATTGTCATAATTATATTTTTCTAAATAATCACAAAAATTAGTATTATATTTTATAATTTTTCCTTTATCAATTTTTGGTGCTCTTTACAGCAAGGTAAATTGGGGAATTATTAATTCTGTTCAGTCCAAAAAATATGTGTAATAATAAATAATAATAAGCTTTACTATGAACCTTTTTTTTCATCCTTATAAATATGGAGAATACTCACATTTTCGTCTATTTAAATGCTAAAAATGTAATTATATCAATATATATAATTTTCATATGTGATAACTACATTAAATAAAGATATTCGTATGCTTCTGTTAACATATTAATGGAGTATTATTCTCAAGATACACTAATATATCATTCATTTGCATTAATTATACATAAAAAGCAAACAATTACTTATAGGTAGAAACTCTTTTTGATTAGCAAAAATTGTTCAATTTTACAATTATCACAATCAAAAATGAATAATTTTAATTATTCTTAAATGTGCTAAGGTAATTATTTTTGCTCAAAATATCAAATTAATATGGTACTCTATGGATCCATTAATAGGGTATAATAAATGAAATAACTTTTATTTACACGTTGTACAAGTTTTAACATGTTCGTGTCTTTATTATATGTGTCTATTTATATATTATGTATACCAAAAAATCATATTATGATTATAGCAAATATATTTTAAAAAAATAAATGATATCTTGATTTTGAACTATAGAATTCTAGTATTTTTTATTTTTCTACAACCTTATTTTCACAAAATTCTCATATCAATTTTTTTTTTCTTCATTTTAAAAGCAGATATATAAAAATTTTATAAAATCACAAAACATGTGGCGTAATCTAATAATGCGCAGTAGATTAATTTCATTTACTGCGTAAAAAGCATGACGCACGTTACAAAATATGATAGATTGTATTTTTTTAGTATTCAATACAGTGACAGTTCGTAATAAAGCATGGAACCTCTGCACTTAAAATTTGCTATAGCAGAAAAAAAAACTTTTTTTAATTGTATTCATTCTTTTAAAATGTAGTATATGAAGTTTTAATGATTAATGTTTTTTTATAGACATAATATAAAGATTGTGAATAATAATTTGTAAAAAAAAAAAATAAATAACATTTTTCTTCATTAGAAAAACATATAAAAATAATTGTTCAAATAGTAATTTTTCCTGAAACAACTATAATTGGAAAACATAAAATGGTGCAAAATTTTAAATACTTGCATTTAAAAGGCACTTAATATTATTGATCAATAAAACACATACTGCTTTTGTTTTTCTAAATATTTAATTCATTTCCTTTTCAATTAAACATAAAAGCTCTAAATATATTTTATAAATAAAATAATAAATATATTCATTATATTTCTTTTATTAAAGTGTTACTGTAATTAAGCATCCGCATTTTACGGTTTTAATAAAAAACAATATAAAATAATTATGGTAGAAAATTTTAAGAACATTTTAGACATTATGTATATATAAATTAAGCACACAATTTTAACAACTTTTTTTTAAAAAAAATTACCTTAATTATCATTCATATATTAAATTGAATTCTACTTTTTTTTACATCGATGAGGTGAAGATAGATAAAATTTGAAGTGATATTTTATTCCATTTATATCCTTTATATTTATAGTGTAAATCAAATTTCTCTTTAAATATAGAGCATAAATATATTATTTCTCTTATTATGCACTTTATATTATTTAAATATCTCTTAACATATTAATATGTTTGCCTTCATATATTATTGCTTAATAATCTTGTTGCGATTTTGTTTGATGGCTTTTTATCATTTAACATTAATTTTGTCTATTGAGAAAATAATTAAAATGATAATGAAAAAATTAACAATGAAATCATTATAATTGTTGTGAGGTACATAAACATAAAATTTACAAAATATTTTCATTCCCTCATTATATGTATACAGAACAATGTGAGATTATTTAAAACCATCAAATTTTATAGGGAAAAAAACTGTTTTCTTCCGAAGTCTCATTAAAATTGTATAATAACTATTATTATACATGGAAAAGATGAAGAGGTTTAATAAAATTATTGTTTTTATATTGTGAATTATAAGTAGATATTTTCTTTAATGAGTAGTAAAACCTTAATTGCATTAGGAAGAGTATGAAATAAACTTTTTTGCTCTATACATACGACAATAGCTGAATATGCATTTAATCAAAATTCTTTATTTAAGGAACTTATACACGACATTAAAAACGATCAGTTTCTTACCATAAATTAAAACTATTTAAAAACATAAAAAATATATCTAGATAGATCATAAGATCTTTAAATGAATAGACACATTTATATAGCAGTTAAAACACAGAAAATATTTAAAAAGGAATCTAGCAAATTTAAGTACTTCTTTTTACATTATAGAATAAGACATATTACTCTAATTATAACTTATACAAATAACAAATATAGAAGAAATATATTAATATCACTAAATAATGAATCAACATATATGAAAACTAGGATAGTGAATTATTAACAATATACTGTATTCTACTGAATGGAAACTATAACTAAATAATGAATAAATTGCTATTATTTCTCTACATAGTTAACGTATTAAAAGTAAAATAATATATTTCTTTTGCAAGATTTACTTTATGTGTCGGTTCTGTTATACTCAATGTAGAAAGCCAAAGAAGAGGAATTAATATTATTAAAAATATAATCAAAAAAGGAATAGTAATATCACTGGATTGCAATAACTGTTAGTATAACAAATATCTCTAAAAATAGATAATGATTAAACACTTGTAAGACTTTAAAGAATGTTCAGCAAGTTAAGTAGTTCAAGATTATATAATTTAACATTATTATTATTACTATACCTTAATAGGAAATTTATTGAAATGTCATAAATATAAATGATTTTACACAGCAACATGCAAATGATTATATAAAGAAAGTATTATATACTCCTTTAATGAATTATCTAATGGAAGTATACTTAATTTTAAATATATATTTTTAAAAATATTCTGCTTAAATATTTCAAATATAGCCTAAATATAATATATATAATATAAATGTAAAAATTTTATATATGCACCAAAAAAATTAATAAATTGGTAGTTTTAAACAAAATAATAGTGTTCCCAGTTAGAACGAAAAAAAATAATAATCATTTAATACATTTTATTGAATATAAAAATTGTAAGAAAATTATTAGAATAATATAGTATGAACTCATTTTGTGTATTATCATTATAATCACAATATATTCTATTAGTACTCTCTACAATATTAATGTGTAATAATTATCTTTTATTGCTAAATATATAAAAAAAAAAATTTACATATATTAGCAGTTTTCAACAAATTGCATAGCGTGTTTATTATTTTATTTCTATTCATATTTCTTTGGAATTCATCTACATTATAACGTCTTAATTTTACCCTAAATAAAATTAATGACTCTCAAAATATAAATACCGTGTCATTTAAAGGGTACACAGTAAGTGGGGAGATATTTCTAGAAAAATAAATATAGCATATGCACACAGGAAAAATGTACTTTTATGATTTTCAGAATATATAACTTCTAATTTATTTTTAGTATTAAATAGGAAATTTAGTAATAAATAGTTTTTATTATAATAATATAAATCTTCTTTTAATAAAAATATTATATACTACTTATCTTTATATGCAGCATTAAAAATTCAAAATATATCAAGCTTAATAATAATGAAACAAATGTGTAAGTACGAAATATTTTACAGCAAATTATAAGTGCCCTACCTTTTAATAGTTGGATTATTTATAAAAAAGCAATTAAACTATAAACCAAAAATGGATATATAGGGAAATATATAGGTAATATTAAATATATAATTATTTTTACTGTTAAAGTATAAAATGTATATGTTAAACAATTTCTAGAGGAATTTTAATTAACTTCTAAGTGCCACTAAAAAGACAACTTTTATATTCATTATTTTAATTTATTTTGTGTGCAATGCATGTAACACTTATATTCCTATGTATGTTTTACTACCTTTTAATGTATATAATTAAGGTTTTATATACCCCCTCATATGTTATATATATTTAATGTATATCAATAATGCATATTCTTTAAGCATATATTTGCTAATTGAATTATTTTGTTGATATCAATAAAAAAAAAATTACATATGCAAATATTATTACTACAAATTATTCATATATTTTCTTTCAAAGCATCCTCATGACATCTTAAATAAATTAAACTATATCATTAATGAATATAATTATTTGTACTTCCCTAATTTTATTAATAAAATGTCGTGATAGGAAAAATATTAAATTCTCGTTTGCAAATATACGTACTCATAATCATGATTTATTTTATGGTATGATTTGTTTAAAGAATGTAAAAAGAAATATAATTATAATAGTAATTAAATGGAATAAACGAAATATACAATTGTTGTTTACCACAATGTCAATGAACAGATTATGATTGCAGGGTGTGATGATAAATATTTAGTATATTTAGCACAATTTAGAGAAAAATGTAGTAGTTTTCATAAAAATAATTGTGCGCACATATGCAATGAACGTAATGAATTAAATAAAAATATATTCAAAATAAAAAGTAAGTATCCTACGCAAATTTCTGCCTATTCTAATCTGCATGTAGAAAATGAGGGAAAGGATTTCTGTGAAGGATGTACTAGTGAATGTAAATACAGTAAAAACACTCAATGTTGTAATGAAGGATATGTTGTGCTAAAATCAGGCGAAGAACTATTATGTGAAGGAAACAACCTTAGTAAAGACGAAACAGTTACAAAAGTTGAAAAGTCTAAGTTACAATCAATATTGGATTCACAGTTTTCGGAAACCCGAAGTTCAAAAAGTGATAATCACGAAAAACCAGATGAAAAGCCTACTGCTGTGATTGAATTCAAATCAGAATAAGAAAATCCAAACAAACAACAAGAAGCAAGGGATACAGATAATTTTGATAAGAATTAAGAGTTATCTTCACCAGTGTATGATCATCATTCTACTAGACCTGTAAAATTGCAAACTAACCCCGAATCTTTGTCTGTCACAAGTAATTCAATAAATAATGCATTCGTTAACAATGAAAATAATGAATCTTCTGAAAAACCTCTGCCAAGGTATGGAATACAGGTATTACATAACAAGAGAGTAATTCGAATAAATATATAGCTTGAAGTATAATAAAAGTTCCTAAAAGAAATGCTCAGCTAATCAGTCTGAAAAAAAGTAATAATGCTGTTAAAGAAATCTCCAATATAATAACGTTTGTTTACAAAACATTTTTTTCTACAGTTTTCACTAACATACCCTTTATTAAAATTGTTACTGATCGTGTAGATGCTAATACATAAGAAGGACCCCCAGAATATACTGGTAGCATATATGATGGATCTCAAGGTAATGATAACCAATCTCCTTATAAAGAAGTTCCCAAAGGTAAGAATTCTAATTGTTTTCATACTAATCATGGAAATACGGGTGTTACACATGCTATTTCAGATATCAATATTCGTATAAGTACTGTTGAAGAAGGTACTCCTAAACAAGGTAGCTATGATAATGGTACTAATTAGGGATTTATTCGCAATAGCACACTTTTTGATGAAATGTATAGCTGTGCACATTAAAATATGAAATTTATCTTACATTGATATGTCTTATAACAGACATACTGAATTATCTAATGAAATTTTAGAAGTACCTTATGGTGATAATTCTCTTGGAACACATATAGTAGGAAGAGACAATGCTTTAAGTGTAACTTAACCTGTAGAGTTTACAGGTATCACTGGTAATGATGTTCTGGAAAGTGAAATTAGTGAAAGTGACGATTGGATACCATATAAAAAATATATCATAATAGCTTTAGGGTCCTTGACAATTATTTTGTTAATGACAATACTTACAAAAATAAACTAAATTATTATATGATAAAATAATTATTCTTATGTTTTTAGTTATTTACATGAATTAAATTGTAATTTTATAATTTTGTTATTTTTTTTAGTATGTGCCTTTAAAAATACTCTTTACAAAGAAAAAGAAAAAAAAACGAAAACAAATAAATGGAAAAATGAAGATGGTATTATATGGACCTTCAGTTTCAAGCGAAAAAAATGTCCAATTTACATATAGCTAATTTAAATATTAAACATATCTATAAATAGTTATTTTTAAAAAATTGATAAATCAGTTTATTTTTAAACATTAAGTATATGTTAACTAATATTTTTTTTTCTTAATTTTTATTTAATTATTTTTTTTGTTTTAAATTGTAGTAGAACATTAAGACTATGTTTTTGAAATTTATAATTATAAACATTTTGTGCTATACATTTAATTACAGTATGACAGTAAGGATAAAACATTACAAGAGAGTGCATTCTATTGATTTTTTTTTGTTCAGTTTCTTATGCTATGAAATAGTTTTAGAATTTTTTAAAATGAAGTATTTCTTTTTTAATAAATATATGTATATTTCGATTCAGATTGAATTCTAAATTAACTTTTTTTTGTTTAGGGTTATTTTTTTATGTATAAAACTATGATATAATAAAAAATATTTAGATACACACTTGAGAAATGTATTTTATACTACATTTTTTAAACTAAATAAAAATGTCTTATATTGTCAAAAATTATTTGTTTATAATACACAATTAAAGTTTTTCAAATAATTTTAATATATGGAAAAACTATAATTCCAATTCACAACTGATTATGAATTTAATACAATTGAACACTTTTGTCGTCATATAAAGAGAGTATAAGAACTATTTTTACAATGAAGAAATCACTAGAAAATCATTACAATTTTTTTCAATCTGTTAATTCAATAAAGAGTAAAATATACAAATATATCTGATAGTGAAATATATTTTGGATGATATAGATTTTAATTTAGGGATATTTTAAAAATATATGAGAACTATTAAAAAATCAAATAAATGTAATATAACAAAATGAAATTTAATTATAACAAATATAATATATAAAATATATTTAAATATAAAATATAATATAAAAAGAATAGTTATTTACTCATATGTAATATGAATTATTTAAAAAATAATTCGAGTTTAAAGAACATAAATGTAAAAATAAAAACAAGGGAATTGTTGCAATGTAATTTAATTTAGGATCATACACGATAAAATAAAAATAAGAAAACAATACATTACAAAATTCATCATATGGAACTATCATTTTGCTCCTTAAAATAATATTTGAATACTTATACAAAACACTTAATTGTGGTATAAGTATTATAATAATGGAAACGACTAGATTTAATGTACTGATACATATAATATGCATACAGAGCCCTTTCTGTGTCATTTTTGAGTAAACCATTAAATTATATGAATTATTATCAGCAATAATAAATGTTTATATATTATTATACCTTAATTTGTATATCCTTTTATGTAATAGATATATTTCTAATTTTCATTAATATTATAAAAAGCTTTGATTAATTTTTGATGAAATAATTTATAATGGTTTTTCCTGCTCTTATGGAAGTCCTAATATAGCTAGTGACAAAAAAAAAGTAAATGTGGGAACATGTGGATTATATTAATAAAATGGACCTTATTTTTTTATAAATAATACAAAAGTTTATTAAAATTTTTATCATAATATTCATGTATGCAAATATAATTCCTAGAAATTTAACCTATGTATCACCATAAATATGTCATGTTTATATAATATACTTATTCTACATTTCTAGAAGTTTTATGAATAGTATGAGAAATTTCCATTCTTGGATGATTCATTTTAGAATGATTAAAAAATATATATTTTATATAAACATCATGAGTACTTTATATATTCATTTAAAATTTTTACCTTCGCAGAATGTTGTTTTTATATTACTAAATATTGCATTCTTTCCATAATTTAATGAAGTTGCGCCCCTATGGTAAATATATTTATGTTGTTAATATCATAAAACAATGAAATTACTTTTTTTACAGTAATATATATATGTTATTAATGTTAAAGTAGGTTGCAATTATTCTTTAAATAAAAAATTTTTAAATATTAATAAAGATAAAAGGGATTCAAATATTCTTGATTATGTAAATACATATAATTATTGTATCACATGTATATTTTTAATTTATCTACTTTAATTTGACATATCAAAAAAATATAAACCTTTACTTTCTGTAATACATATAGACATATCACGGATATTATCATGGCTAAAAATATATATATATATATATATATTTAGAATTCTAAATAAAAAATTTCCAATGGTTTTGGCTATCGGTACTTTTATAATATATCTCAACAAATAATATATCTATATAAAAATAGTTATTCTCGAATAATGAATAAATATGTCTGTATTAAATACGACATGTAATTTTTTTAATGTACATAATGTTATTTTTCTTACATTCGGATTTTATGTTTCAAAGTAAAATTAAACATTACAATGAATTAAGTAATGTAAGCTCAGAATTTCAAAATTAGTCGGGATTTATTTTCTAATAAGCTTAATTATGTAAGAAAAATTAAATATTAAGTATGTTTTATATATATCTAATTTTGAAGTTATATATTCACTATATATTTTTTTTTTTGGCTTCTAATTTATTTATAATATAAAATATAGTTATTCACAAAAAAAATCTATATATTTTAATCATTAATATTTTTATTTTCTATAAATAATTATATTTTTATAAAAAAATATAATTTTTATAAATTATGTTATGGCTTATCATAATAATGTGATCCATGGTTTGTCATTTTTTTATTTCTTTAATATTCATATTCTCAACATCACATAAAATTATATTTAAATAAATTCATATATAGTCAATTTTTTTATAATAATTTTTTCAATTTCCTATCTTTTTCTATATAATATAACCATTTGCAATTATATTGTTCTTCTAACACTTTTTTATAAGAACACTCCTTAGAAATTCAATATATGATATGCCTATGATGTATGAAGTTTTATAAATAGTAATATCATAGAAAAAAAAATTAATTCATAAAAAATAAAATCGAATTTAAAATTCAATTACATGCATATTTAGTTAAAACCAAAATTTTTATTATAATAATGATTCCTATAAAATATATTAATATTGAAACAACATTGATTTCATAGAGCCTCAGAAAAAAATTTGAATAAATCAGTTTCAGTGCTCGTTGGTACTTAGCAATAAAAATATACAAAATATTATACATCAGTAATCGATTAATATATAATAATAAGAACATATATCCATTAAAGCATGAATCTTTAAAAAATATAAAATTAATTCAAATTTTAAATCGAAAAAACATCTGTTATACTTTTTATATATTAAATTGCGTATTAAATCAGTATAAAGCTATTGATAAAATAGGTCCTACATATTAATTAATGTTTAATTTAAATCAAAACGTATGTGAAGATATTCGTAGTATCTAATAATCTGTTTTTTCTCAATTTACAATAATATATAGATTCTTTCTTTTGCAAAATTATTATAAATAAAATTTTAAAATATAATTTTATTTAAAAATACTTTTTCATATAACTAATTATAATATCTTTATATATCATGTTTATTCCTGAATAATATCTCAATATATATTTAGATAATAGACCATTCAACTCAAATGAATAGAAGAAAAAGGAATATATAATTTTTACTTTATATAATCGCCTAAAAAGAATTTATATAAAAAGAGTATATCTGTATATATTTAGCAGTAACACAAAACCAAAATATGACAACATACACTTAGAAAAGATAACCTTTGTTATTTTTTTACAGTATCACATAAATTATTATTAGCATGCATATAATATATTTATATATATATA